GGAGTCCTTGATGGCACAGATAGGCGTAGTTGTGGGCCCCGACGGGCTCTTCAAGGGTCAAAGAACATTTAAGGTTTGTTCCTCCAGCTAATACAATGTTAACATTAGGAAAACAAGAGAAGATCCCCGAACGGCCGAAATTTTTTGTCATCCCATTAGGATTAGGATTGTAAGAATTGATACATAGAAAAAGCCCCCCCCCCCCCCCCCCTATCAATCCTAGTTTGTGATTAGGATCAATATGTGTACTAGTTGGTTTTCATGTTAGCTTACGAATGTTCTTTAACAAGTCATGAATGTATTTTTATTGAGAAATAAAAATCTCATATTTAGAGCAAACAACTTCAATTCCTATAAAATACTTCAGCTTGCCTAGTTCCTTAATTTCTAAATCTTTTACTAAACATTATTTTAGTATTAGTCGTTCATTATCATTAATTTTTGTTATAGTAATATCATCAACATATACTAGGAAATTTTTCTTATTTTTGAGTATTTGATGAAAATGTGATCTCCTCGAGACTACTTAAATCTCATATCTATCTTCACCTTTATAAACTTGACAAACCATGTTTTTTATGACTGTTTGAGTCCACTATTAGTTTACATACCTTATTGCTCATACTTCTTTGTTAAAGCTTGGTGAGATATTCATGTAAATTTCTTCTTCTAAATCTCCACGCAAGAAGACATTTTTTACTTCAAACTATTTAATTGTCAGATAAAATAGGCAGCTAATGATAATAAGATTTGCAGAGTTGTGAATATCTCATAGTAGTCTATCCCATATTGTTTGAGTATAGCTTTTTATCACTAGTCTTGCTTTGTACATCTTAATTGTCCTATTTGCTTTAAATTTAATTGAGAAAACTCATCTCTATCCTAGTCTTTTTCCTTGGGTAGATTCACCACTTTTCAAGTTTGATTCTTTTCAAGTGTATATGTTTTCATACTCATATTATTTTTCCATTTTGTATATAATAAAACCTCAAATACTATTTTAGACATATACTCATTCCTTAAACTCGTTAAAAAAATTTTATAAGTTAATGAATATTTATCAAATAACATAAATTGTGAGATATGATATAAATAGTTTTTATTATATTTATTTGTACCTTTGCAAAGTGCAATAAATGTATTATTATCAGAGTATTGAATAAGTTTTTTGGGACTTACCTAAGTTGTAGTATTATTATCAGAGTATTGAATAAGTTTTTTGGGACTTACCTAAGTTGTAGGATCAAGGTTAGATTCTTGGAACAGTTTTAACCCAATACTTAATATTTTCTTCCTTGTATACACCTAAGAATAGTTAGGGTCTAGTATGATC